TCTATCCTTCCTTGGAAGATTTCCCTCTACCAAGAACATAAACACAAGACTCATATTTTCTTTTAATATGTTCGTGGTTTTCTTTTCTAACATGGACATCTTTAGTCTGGCTGGCGTTGATTTGGATGAAGGTATGGGGTGGGATCAAATACAATTTTTACCCTGGACCCCATGAAGGGTGCCACCTCCTCTTCTCTGAACACTGGGCTGATTGTTACATGGAGTTGTCACATGCCCTCTTCCCAGTTCTTTGGGCTGCAGAATTAGTCATCGGCGCTGGAAGCCTGCCCCCGCCACGCTGTGGTGACCCCATCCCAGCGAGGCTCCCCTAGCTGGGCGGCCCGTCTGCCCTGTGGTGAGGGGAAGGAATTCGGCATGAGCTCTGCTCACTCAGCAGCCAGCCTCGAGGAGGCTGCGGAAAATCACATGTGTTTTTCAAGTTGTTGGAAACCAAGGAAATTGTTCTGCCAGTAGTGAGGTTGGCTAGACACTGTCTGGGAGACCCTGGGTCCTCACAGCTTGAGGAACCCTGCCTTCACGTGGGCTCCAGGTGACCCACCAGTGACTTTGGGCTATAGAGAAGAAGATGTTAACAGCGGTCTCCCCCAGAGAGGAGCAAGGTCTGGTCCCTTCTCTTTTGGTTCCTGGTGAGATATAGACTCAGGACCCTCCTGGCTAAAGCTAGGCTTCCTGGACTTTCTGTCCCCCAAAATGCAGACTAATGCTAGACAGCAGATTGGGGAGCGGGCTCATATAAGACAGGTGGCTGGGCCGTGGGCACACAAGGCTTCACTCTGCAGAGGCCTGACCTTCTGTTCCACAGGGGCTGATGAGAGCTCAGGATCTGGGGTGGCTTAAGGGACTGCTCCTGGCTCCAAGCCCTGGCAGCCGCTGTCCCCATATTCTGCAGCCCCCTGACTAGCACTCCAGCCCGCCGGGGCCTGCTGGCACAAGCGCATCTGTCTCTGGCCAGGCTGGGCCTCGGAGGGAGGGAGGCTGGCTGAGTTTCATGATGCGCTGAGCAGCCTCTGCTGCCTAACGGCCACAGCAGTGCAGCCCATGCAGAAGCAGGTTTGGCCCAGACCTGAGAACTTAGCTTGACCTTCTGTCACTTACCTGCTGTGACCCCAACAAGTTATTCTTCTCTGAGCCTCATCCCGCTGAGAACTGGGGAAACACACACTTCACAAAGGCCACTTCAGAGCACTCCGAACCACTCAGGTAGCCTAGGGGTGCAGGGGTGAATCACCTGGCTGGGTCTCCCTTCAGCTTCCATCCAAGAGGAGCCCAAGGCCCTTGCCTGTGCCCTGCTGTCTGGGGTTCCAGGTACTTCCTGTACTCCCTAACCCATTCCTGCCTCGGCCTTTCAAGGCAAGTTTTGTCCTCTGTGATGGCTGGACCTCTGGGACACACCCCAGCAACACCTTGTTGAAATCGCCATGGATGCTGCTGAGTGAACCAAGTCACGGACAGCCCTGCCAGGCTGTGGAATGCCGAGGTGTTCAGGCTTTGTAACAGTCAGGCTGGGTCTGGTGTTTGAGGGGGTGATGTTTTGTCCTGCCCACTTCACAGACCTGTGCACACAGCCACAAGGATGCGGGCTGACACTGCAGGCTGAAATGAATGACCAAGAGTCTGTGTACTCAGGAGGCTGAGCTATGTACCCTGACATGAAGTGGGTCGGATAGATTTTTTTCTTTTTTGTCTTGACAGCGTCTCTCTATTCAGTTTAGGCAGGCCTTGAGCTTACTTTGTAGCTCAGGCTGGTCTTGAACTCCCAATGGTCCTCCTGTCTCAACCTCCCAAATGCTGGGATTACAGGTTTGTGCCACCCTTCCCAGCTTTCAAATGGATTTCTGGGACCTTCAGATCTGCCCAGTTTCCTGAGGGAGCTACAGCCTGACTCAGACTCAGAAGGGCATTGCCTAATGGCTCAGAGGCCACCCAGGACCCAGGGTCTTCTTCAAGACCACATCCTGGCCATGGAGAGTGAGTGCAGACAGGACGAAGCTGTGGGTCACCACGTGGATTTGGTAGAACTCTGAGGTCCAGTGGAGAGGAGACCCAAAAGGTTACCAGGTAGGAGCAGGGCTGTGTCTCACACCTTGAGGCTGGCAATGCCTTGAGGTCTGAACTGTGATTTCCACAAAGACAGATGCTAACTGGACTTCTGCATGTAGGTCCTGAGGGCCCAAGTGAGCAGACCCTTCCTAGCTGTGGCCATGAGCCACTCCTGCTCTTACTGGCTCCCCACCCCTCAGGGAACAGAGACCTCTTCCAGGTCACAGCCTGCTACCTCACTGCAGAACCACCGCAGGCAGCAGGGCCACCTTCCTCTGGCCCCTTCCGCCCCATGGGCAGCATCTGACATGGCAGCTGACCAAGCATCTGGAGTGAAGCTTCGCTTTCTCACCCTGTTCACGGAATCTCCCTCCTGAGGCCTGGTCCCAGAACTGGCCTCTTGGAGCGGGGTGGGGTGTCCTTTCTTCCAGGGAGACAGGCTTTAGTGCAAGGGGCAAAGAGGCCTTGACCTTGGTGCCTAGATGCCCTGTCCTCCCCCTTGGCCTGCTGGGGCTCTGCTCAGGGTTTCCCATGGCAGGATTCTTCCTCTACCTTCAGTTATACACTGGCCTACTCCCTTCTCTCCCCATCCTTCCAGTTAGCTTTAGGCCTCCACCCTCTGATGCCTCTGCTCCCCAAGAACTCTCCCTGCACCCCATCCAGCAAGGGAGGTCTTTCCCTTGGGCCAGCCAAGACCCTTGGGCAGACCCTGCCACATATACTGGGGATGGTGGAGAAGGAGGGTGGGGTAGGGGCCACCAGGGTGCTTAGTAGATCTCCAGGGTAGCTGAGATGCCACCTGGATGTAGACACAGACGTCCTGCCAAGTCGCAGGGGCTGGGACCCTGAATCCCAAGGGCTCCAAACCACAGAGACCACAGGATTCTCATTTTCCAACTGACCTTGGCTGTGCCCCTGAGGCTGTGTCCCTTGACAAGGGATAGGGGTGGGGGCCGTGGTTGGTCCAAGTACAGTATCCTGGGCCTGGAACAAAAGGGCTCCTGGATGCAACTTCAGGCTGAGCAGGGTCCCAGCCCCCTCGAAGGAGGCGGCCAGACCTTGGCCCTTCTAGGCTCAGGTCCCCACTGGGGGCTCTACTCAGATTCCTGTTGGTGACTCACTGCAGCCTGGGACCGCAAGTCCTTTTTTGTTCTCTAAAAGGCTTCTGTTTTCCCTGGCAGAAGATTCAGGACCCAAATCCAATCCGTGTGGGAGCCATTCCCAGGGAAGTGACGTCCCACAGCCCCCCACCCACCATCGCCTCCACCATGACACACTCCACCCGGGACAGCACAGCGAATTCCCAGAACCAGCTCTGAGCTCAATGATTCAGCATTTGCAGGGGTTGGTGCTTCCTGATTAGCTTCCTTCACCCTCACAGCTTTTGCCAGGATTGGGCTGGGTCGGCAGGCAGGCAGGAAGAGCTCTGGCTGCAGGGGCTGCTCTGAGTCGGGGACAGTAGGAGACCCTTCTTCCCTCCACTCCTGGTCTCCAATGGAAATGATGCCAGCCCAGGGCCCATGGGGTGTGAGAGGGAACACGTGGGCAGATTCCACGTGATCGGCACACAGCAGTCACACTGAGGTCATTTGCTGAGATCAGAGGGCCAGCGCTTGGATTCACCCCAGGGGCCAGGTCAGGGCACCCTGTGGGGAGACATCGGAGGGTCCTTTCCCCCCTCCCCCGAGGAGCAGTGGTTGAGCCCAGCAGCCTCTCCCCTCAGGAGGGATCAGGTCCAGCTGGCCCAGGTGCTTCCTGACACCTCCTCTTTCAACACTACCTGGGTGACCACCTGCGAGCTCTGGGGTTTCCTGCCAGCTCCATCACAGATGACCTTGGTGTATGGCTGCTGACCTTGACCTATAGTCACAAGTGCTCTTTCTCTGGTGTCCTCCTTCCTGCATGGAATGCTATGGAAGCTCTGGCCTTAGCTGTGAGGGCTGCCTGGCACCAGCAGACATTTGCTTTTCTGGAAATCTAGAGCAATATCAGGTGGTGGTGGTGTGAATCTTTCCTCCCCAGTTTCCAGACAGATACCACAATGGATCCTTCTGTGTGCTCCTGGATCTATGTAAATAGTTGGAGATACCCTTGAAAACAGATTTTTAAAAATGAGTCCCAGGCTGGGCATGGTGGCACACACCTGTAATCCCAGCACTTGGGAGGCTGAGGCAGGAGGATCCTGCAAATTCGAGGCCAGTTTGGTTTACTAAGTGAGTTCAAGGCTAGTTTGAACTGCATAGTGAAATCTTGTTTTAAAAGACAATACCCCCCCCACACACACCCACCCTCCACCCCCACCCCCTCGCCGCCGCCAAAAAAAAAAAAAAAAAAACCCCAGATCTGGAGTGTAGCTCAGTGGTAGAGGATTTGCCTGACATGGGCAAGCTCTAAAGTTTGATGCCCAGCACTGCAAGAAAAAAAGTGGATGGTGGTGATACGGTGGTAAGAGGAAGCAGGGAAGCAGGCATTTGTTCAGTGCAGAGCTGGGGGTGACGGCAGGCCCTTGTGCGGGATGGAGGTCTTCCCTGTGGTAGCTCTGCAACCTCGCACTACCTCAGTGCCCGAGCTGCCTGAGAACAGGGCACGGCCCCCAGGTCCTGGACTGAAGAAAGCAGCAGGTGGTGGTTCGTAGAGCCCGCGGGCCAGGGCTGCAGGGGATGGGAGGACGTGACTGGGCGGCCAGCATCCTCGTGGCGCTGGGCCCCCAGATCCCACCCCAGGTGTCCTCCCATGCGCTCTGAGACCTGGGTGGCTCTTGCCCCAGACCCTCGGTCCTGGGCGCACAGGAGGCTCGCAGTCTGCGTTCTGGGACGCGCCAGGAGCCCGCGCCGGGACCGCCCCGTCCCCCCACAGCCCATCCGTGCGCGCCCGGCTCCTCCTTCTCCTCCTCCTCCTCCTCCCCGGGGTGGGGAGGCCGCTCCGGAAGCCCCGGCGCCCCCGCCCCGGCCGTTGGCCCTGGAGAGGACGGACCGCGCCACGCGGGGCAGGAGCGGACGGCCACCGCCTCGGGGCCCCAGTCTCTCCGTGGACCCCGAGCCTCTCTGGGGTCCTGAACCCCTGCCGGGACCCCTAGTGTCTTTCCCGGCCCCAGCGGCCATGGCGGGCGTGCGTGCTGCGCCCCTGCTCGGCGGCCTCCTGCTGCTCCTAGCGCTGTGCCCCGGGGGGCGCCCGCAGACCGTGCTCACCGACGATGAGATCGAGGAGTTCCTCGAGGGCTTCCTGTCGGAGCTGCAGCCCGAGCGCCGCGAGGACTACGACGTGGAGGCCCCAGCGCCCCCCCAGGGCGCACGCCCTGCCCAGGAGGGAGGCCAGGCGGGGGCGGCCGAGGGAGGTGAGATGGGGGGTAGGACTAAGAGTGGGCTGGTGAGACACCTCTTGCGGGGGCCTCGAAGTGAGACTTGGGTGGGGCCAGGAAAGTGAGACCCCGGTGCTATTGGGGGTGGTGGTGAAAGGTGGCGCAGAAGGTGAAAACCCAGGGCAGGCAGACTCCTCAGGAGTAAGCAGGGCTCCCCGACTTTTCCATCTTTCCTCCCCCTCCTGGCCGCTGGCTAGGAGGGACACTGGCCAGGAGGGCACATTCAGCACCCAGCCACAGGCTCCCTGGGTGGGGATGTCTATGTGCTGGTCCTCAGGCTCTCTGGGGTCCGGGCTTGGGCCACGGGGATGAGCACACACCACACCCGGGACAGGAGACCTATGTCCCAGCTTCCAGGAGAGTCCAGTGATGTGATGCATGGCCAAGGCATGTAACCCAGGCTCTTACGTAATCTGTGTCAGTAAATCTTCACTGTTTATCAGGCTCTTGGCAAGGTGGCAGGGGATCTCATGATCTCTCTCCCAGGAGAGGCCGAAGCACCTTGCCCCATTCCTTAAATTGAAGCTTCCCCCTCCACTGGCACCTCCACTGCAGCTCCTGTTGGCTGTGCCCTGTAGTGGCTGGGCCCTGCCGTCCAGGACACCTAGATGCCACCAGGGCAGCCCCCTCCTGTGTTTTGTAATTTCTGTATTTGGCTAAACGGCCCTTGAGTCTCCCACCACCCTTAAATTCCCAGTGGCATCTGCAGCTCCTTGCATAGGGTGCAGGGAGGATCCTCATGAGGTGGCCCACAGGGGCCCCAGCTTCCAGACTCCCTGAACTGTATCATCAGCCATGTGCTTCCTGCTTGTCCTTCTGTACACTGTGATCCACAGGTCTCCCAGGACCCACTGCTGGTCCTAGCCTTCAGTCCACCCGAGACCCCTTATTTCTTGCTCTTTGTTGGGCTTCAGGAGTCATCTCTTCTTGTTCCTGTAGGGAGGGTCCAGGTGGGCCCATGTCCTTTGCTTCATATGACAGTGTGTGCAGGGGTGACCACTGCTCCATCAGGCCTGGCAGGCTGAGTCACTCTGTGCACCTCCCATGTCCAGCACAGAACCGTGTGTCCTGTGACTGGCAGGTGACACTGGGTGAAGGAGTGGACCCTCGGGCTCCTGTTGAGGATTCAGCCCTGAAAGTGAGTGTTGAGTGCTTAGTCTGTAGAGAGGCTAAGGTGTCAGGTTGGTGGCCCTGGACTCGCACACAGAAAGCCTGGGTTCAAACCTCAGTGCTGCCACTTTGGCTTCATTAGTTTGATCTGAGTCTGTATTCTGGACAGCACCACTGGAAAAGGCCAAAGACAAAGGAAAGAAAGGGAAGAAGGACAAGGGCCCCAAGGCCACCAAGCAGCCCCCTCCAGAGGAGACCCCCAGGCCACCTAAGAAGGGGAAAGAGAAGCCACCCAAGGCCACTAAGAAACCCAAGGAGAAGCCACCCAAGGCCACCAAGAAGCCCAAGGAAAAGCCACCTAAGGCCACAAAGAAGCCCAAGGAGAAGCCACCCAAGGCCACCAAGAAGCCCAAAGAGAAACCACCCAAGGCCACTAAGAAGCCCCCCGCAGGGAGGAAGTTCTCCACTTCTGCGCCCTTAGAAACTGAGGAGTGGCCGCTGCCCTCGCCCCCAATTCCTGGCCCTGAGATGCCAGTCCCGGAGGGAGGTTTGTGCTGGGCTTGCAGGGTCTCCAAGGCTCCAGCTTCCCCTGGAGGCAGGGAGGGGTAAGAGGGCTCCAGGACTCCATTTCCCCATTACACCCCATTACACAGGGTGTACTCTGGGGCCTTGCTGTGTATGAACTTGGCAAGGTGATTCTCTGGGCCAGGGCAGGCCTTGGCAGCCTGTGGAGAGCTGCCTGGCCCCTGATCCTGTGCAGTGCCCTGCTGCTTCCCTCTGGCAGTCAGCTCTCTGCCCCCAGGGGTACAGCGGGGTGCCCCAACCTTCATGGGGTGAGCTGTGGCCCTAGGCTGGCAAGGTGCTCAAGACAGGCCCCTGTCCTGCTGTTTTTGGGGTTCTGCATTGCAGGGGGTGCCTTTCCAAATGCCTGGCAGGGCCCAGAAAAGGTCCATGTGGCACCCCGGAAACACCAGCCTGGTGAGTGGCCATCATCCTCCTGGCCCCTGGTGACCAGCTACCCTGGTTCTGGACTGAGGGATTTCCTGGAGGGGGCTCAGGTGGGGTTGTGAGGTGGTCCACTGGTGTCTTCTCTACAGAACTGGAGGAGGAGACTGAGATGCCTACGCTGGACTACAATGACCAGATAGAGAGAGAGGACTATGAGGACTGTGAGTAGGTTTGCCCTGGCCCGGGCACTGCCTGTCCTGCCTGAGGGCCCTCCCAGCCTGGTCACTCAGAGCCCACCTCCCCTCAGTCGAGTATATCCGGCGCCAGAAGCAGCCCAAGCCACCGCCCAGCAGGAGGAGGTTCTGGCCAGAGCGCCCTGTGGAGAAGGCTGAGGAGCCGGAAGAGACGCCAGAGGAGAGGCCGGAGAGGCCGGAGGAGAGGCCAGAGGAGAGGAAGGAAGAGATTGGTAGGGCGGGGGCAGAGGAAGGGGTTGCTGGGGATGGACTCTGGCCCACACCCACCTCCTCATATCCACAGAGCCACCTCAGAAGCCGCTGCTGCCTGACTATGATGATGGCTTTGTGATCCCCAACTATGATGACAGTGAGTGTGCAGCATGTCATGGTCCGAGGGGTACCATAGACCTCTGGGGCAGGCGTGTCATCAGGGCTTGGGGTTGGCCCTGCCTACTCCCCGCCCGACTTTGCCAGACATGTGCCTTGGCCTCAGCCTCAGGCCTGTCACCACTGCACCTACCCTTCGGGCTCCCGTGAACCCTCCAGCCAGGGTGGGCAGGGACGGGACCTCAGCAGGGCTGTTCTTCTGCAGTAGACGACTACTTCCCGCTGCCTCCACCGCCCAAGCCTGATGCTTGGCCAGAGACGGATGAAGAGAAGGAGGAGCTGAGTGAGTGGGACCAGGCATCACCCCACCAGCCATCACCTGAGGCCAGCTCTGCCTGCCTGACCAAGCCCTACCTGTGCCCATGTCAGCCCCGCCCCCCAGTGACCCTGGCTGTACCCCACTGCACCCCAAGCTCTAGGCCAGGCTGATAGGCCTCTCCTGCCTCACCCCCTCCAGAGAAACCCAAGAAGGAGGGCAGCAGCCCCAAGGAGGAGACGGAGGATAAAGGAGCTGTGGAGAAGGGCAAGGACCATAAAGGTGGGTGCTACTCTGGGGACATCTTTCTGCTGCCTGGCCTGTGACCCACCTGCCCCCTCTTGGTCTGCAGGGCCCCAGAAGGGCGAGGAGTTGGAGGAGGAATGGGCTCCAATGGAGAAGATCAGTGAGTGGGCTGGGGTGGGCGTGGGGCCCAGTAACGCGGCCGGTCGAAATTGGGGAATTCTGCCTGCTTTGGGGCAGCGAAGGGAAGGCAGGCTAGGGGCACGGCAGCTCCTGGCCTGGGTCTATCTCAGCACTGGCTGTCTACTGCCAGTGGACAAAGGGTGCCCAGAAGGAGGCAGTGGGTTTTGGGGTGCTGGGCTTGGGGTTGGTTGATACAGGGAGGACTGAGCCTGCCACTGCTGGCCGGGTGTGTGCCCTAGAGTGCCCGCCCATCGGGATGGAGTCACACCGCATCGAGGACAACCAGATCCGAGCCTCTTCCATGCTTCGCCATGGGCTGGGGGCCCAGCGTGGCCGGCTCAACATGCAGGTGGGTGAGTTGTTGGCGCATCCCACGTGAGTGAGGGACCCCCCCCCCCGCACTGTGCTCAGCCTCCTTGCTGTCCCCACAGGCTGGCCCCAACGAGGACGACTACTATGATGGTGCGTGGTGTGCGGAGGACGACCCGCACACCCAGTGGATCGAGGTGGACACCAGAAGGACCACTCGGTTCACAGGCGTCATCACCCAGGGCCGGGACTCTACCATCCAGTAGGTGGCTGGGCTCCCAGGCCGTGGACAGTGGCTCTGAGTCCCACTTGGGTCACCTGGGAAGGCCAAAAGGACCCATGAGGGCCACCTCACTCCCACCCTGTCCTTGGGCCCATTAGCTCCAATTCAGAGGGGCACACAAGGCATGGACAGGCCACTGCCCATGCCACAGGCAGCACAGAGCCACATGCCACAGAGGGTGGGGGGGACATCCCCGCTGGGGCCTGAGTAGGAGAGCAGTCCTGCTCTGACCGTGCTTGCTCCACAGTGACGACTTTGTGACCACCTTCTTTGTGGGCTTCAGCAATGACAGTCAGACATGGGTGATGTACACCAATGGCTACGAGGAAATGGTGGGTGCCGGCCTCTGCTCTGTGTCCGCTGCCTGGTCCTGGTTGGGCTCCCAGGGCATGAAGTGCAGCACTGAGGCCATCCCCGTCCCCCAGACCTTCCATGGGAACGTGGACAAGGACACGCCGGTGCTGAGCGAGTTCCCGGAGTCCGTGGTGGCCCGCTTCATCCGCATCTACCCCCTCACCTGGAACGGCAGCCTGTGCATGCGCCTGGAGGTGCTAGGCTGCCCTGTGAGCTGTGAGTGCTGAGGGCTGGGGGCAGCGGGGGCTGCGTGGCTGGGGCGGCTGGCTCAGGGCCCTGCTGCCCACCCTCTGCAGCCATCTACAGCTATTACACACAGAATGAGGTGGTGGCCACTGATGACCTGGATTTCCAGCACCACAGCTACAAGGATATGCGCCAGGTTAGGGGCTGTGTCCCTCCTGGTTTGTCCCTGGGATCCCAGGGCACAGCCCCCGCTCAGGGGAAGGAGACTAGGATCTGGGGGTGCCTAGGAGGTCCTGGGGTCAGTGGCCCTTCCAGGCCTGGGGCAGAGACATGGTCAGTAATGCGTCCCCTGTCCCCACCAGCTGATGAAGCAGGTGAATGAGGAGTGTCCTACTATCACCCGCACATACAGCCTGGGCAAGAGCTCTCGAGGGCTCAAGATCTACGCCATGGAGATCTCCGACAACCCCGGAGAGCACGAGCTGGGTGAGGCCTGGTGCACTGTGCAGGGCAGGCTCCACTTCCCCTCCACTGTGGCAGGGGCAGTGCAGCTTGGCCATTAGCGACAGCAGAGCTCATGGCCTCTCCCTTCAGGGGTCCAGGCCTGGCTTGCTGGACACTATAAGCTTGAGCCGTCCCCACTCGTGGGCTGAGTGCTTATTGTGGCTTCTGCCCTCTAGGGGAGCCCGAGTTCCGCTACACAGCGGGGATCCATGGCAACGAGGTGCTGGGCCGCGAGCTGCTGCTGCTGCTCATGCAGTACCTGTGCCGTGAGTACAGAGACGGGAACCCGCGTGTGCGCAATCTGGTGCAGGACACACGCATCCACCTGGTGCCCTCACTGAACCCCGATGGCTATGAGGTGGCAGCACAGATGGTGGGTGTGCAGGGGTCTGGGGGTGGCACAGGGAGGCTGGGGACAGTGCTGGTGGCTGAGGCTGATGTGGCAACTGCCCACAGGGCTCCGAGTTCGGGAACTGGGCACTGGGGCTGTGGACCGAGGAAGGCTTTGACATCTTTGAGGACTTCCCGGATCTCACCTCCGTGCTCTGGGGAGCTGAGGAGAGGAAATGGGTCCCCTACCATGTCCCCAACAACAACTTGCCCATCCCTGAACGTTACTTATCCCCAGATGCCACGGTGAGGAGCAAGCCCTGGCTGAGCCTTGGAGATCCAGGGGCTGGGGGACTGGCGGGCTGTGGGGAGTGGAGCAGTGCTGATGGGAGCCCTAACTCCTGGTGGCAACCCCAGGTGTCCACAGAGGTCCGGGCCATCATTGCCTGGATGGAGAAGAACCCCTTTGTACTGGGAGCAAACCTGAACGGTGGCGAGCGGCTTGTGTCCTACCCCTATGACATGGCCCACACGCCCAGCCAGGAGCAGCTGCTGGCGGCAGCCATGGCGGCCGCCCGAGGGGAGGATGACGATGAGGTGTCCGAGGCACAGGAGACCCCGGACCATGCCATCTTCCGGTGGCTGGCCATCTCCTTCGCCTCCGCCCACCTCACCATGACTGAGCCCTACCGCGGAGGATGCCAGGCGCAGGACTACACCAACGGCATGGGCATCATCAATGGCGCCAAATGGAACCCCCGCTCGGGCAGTGAGTCAGGCTGTGGGGGCCAGGACACAGGGGCACCTGGCCTGGGGCGGGGGTGACCATGGGTCCATGTCTGCCCAGCCATCAACGACTTCAGCTACCTGCACACCAACTGCCTGGAGCTGTCTATCTACCTGGGCTGCGACAAGTTCCCGCACGAGAGCGAGCTGCCTCGCGAGTGGGAGAACAACAAGGAAGCGCTGCTGACCTTCATGGAGCAGGTGGGTGCCATTGGCACCCAGGGGTGGGCGCAACAGACACGGAGCAGGGACGTAGGGGTGTCTGTGTGGCCCCATACTTTGTGTCCCTCCTACAGGTGCACCGCGGCATCAAGGGCGTGGTGACAGATGAGCAAGGCATCCCCATTGCCAATGCCACCATCTCCGTGAGTGGCATCAACCACGGTGTGAAGACAGGTACCAGGCCGCCCTGGGTGACATGTCCCAGCCCAGCCCCAGCTGTGTGTGTGGCTGTGGCACGGTGCCCAGCAAGCCCCTGGCCCTGCACAGCCAAAGCAGGGACAGGGCCTGGTGGACTCAGAAAGGAAGTTGGATTTGTGGGAGAACCATGGGGCAGGGCTCAGAGTGGCAAGTGGAGCTGAAGGGCTGTGGCCCTGTGACAGTCACCGGTCTCAACCCCTTGGCAGCAAGTGGTGGAGACTACTGGCGCATCCTGAACCCTGGTGAGTACCGCGTGACAGCCCACGCAGAAGGCTACACCCCCAGCGCCAAGACCTGTACCGTGGACTACGACATCGGGGCCACCCAATGCAACTTCATCCTGGCCCGCTCCAACTGGAAGCGCATCCGGGAGATCATGGCCATGAACGGGAACCGGCCCATCCTCCGTGTGGACCCCTCACGCCCCATGACCCCCCAGCAGCGGCGCCTGCAGCAGCGGCGCCTTCAGCAGCGGCTGCGGCTGCGGGAACAGATGCGGCTGCGGCGACTCAACGCCACCTCAGCCTCCACCACGATCCCCACTCCCACTCTCGGCCCCACCCCTGCCCCCACCTCTGTCCCTGTCCTTACGCCCGGCCCCACACGAGGACCCCAGGACTACCTACCCCATATCACAGAGGGCTGGGAGGAGCTGGAGACCGAGACCTACACAGAGGTGGTGACAGAACTTGAGACCGACTATGGGATTGAGGTGGAGCCCGTGGAGGAAGTGGAGGAGGAGGAGGAGGGAGAAGGGGAAACCACCGGCCTTGACTTCCCCTTCACAACAGAGGAGACCTACACGGTGAACTTTGGGGACTTTTGAGAGCAGGGCTGGTGCGTTCCTGGTATCCCCAAGCCTGCACTGTTACACACACACAGCATCAGCGCCAGAGGCCCTGGGTGCCTCCCACAGGGCACAGAGGCGACAGGGCCTACAGGCCAGAGTGCATGGAGGCCCCTGCTCTGCCTTAAGGAGGGACAGGAGAGGGAGGCCAAGGTCACACCAATAAACCCAGCTCACAACACTGACCAGCAGCTCCTGAGCACTTGGGACAAGGGCTCATGGCCCTGGGCTCTCAATGTTGTAGTCACCTTCCAAGCAGGCCAAGGGCTCAGACACTTGGGCTTTATTTACAAGGCTCTTACTTCTGGGCAAGCATCAGGGGCCCAGCCCCAGGGCTTCCAGCTCATCCTCCTCTGCCCCAAAGCCTGCAAAGCTGATGGGCTGGCAGGCCAGGCTGCGCAGGTTCACCAGGCAGGCGGTCTGTGTGGCACTGAAGTCAGGAATGGCCACCAGCAGCACCATCTGGTCCTCAGGGCCTGGGAAGCAGCCAAAGACAGTGATCTTAGGTTCTGGGCGGCCTCACAGCCAAGCTCCCAGAAGTAAGCAGGCGACAAGATGGGGGGTTGGTGGAGGCACATAGCTCAGAGCCACCCAATAACACAAAGGCCACCAGGCAGATCCCAGGCTGTGTGTCCTACAAGGGCCTTGTCCCCAGGTGAGAGCAGATAATCCTCAGCCCCTCAGGCCTGGGTCCCCCATGCCAAACTCACCCCGGATGACCCTGGAGCCGAAGCTGGGGGTGTTGCCACAGAAGTAGACGTGCGGGCACTCGAGGCAGATGAACGGGTCGGTCTTGTAGAAGGGGTAGCAGCCTGAGAAGAGGCCATGCTAAGCAGATCCCGCCATAGGGCCCTGCACGGATGCAGAGCAGCTCCCTCCCCTCTCAGGCCACTGCTAGTAGCTGTCCCCCCACTGTGACAAAGTGTCAGGCTGCCCCATGACCGATGACACTGGACATGTGCATTCCTACCCCCAGCTGGCTTACTCCGTGGTCTTCAGCCTAAGGAGTCCTGGCCACAGAGGGAATAAGACTCCAGGTGGCTTCCATAACAGCTGTTCCTCAACCCCCTCCCTGGCCCTTGTCCACCAGTTCGACCTGGCTGTTACCTAGGGTGTCAGGGGCTGTGGGGCTGATGTGACGGACCCGCAGGGTCCACTCTAGGATCTCTAGATGGTCTTCCATGCTGCTGTATCGGAAAATGTCACTCACGTTCTGTCCTGATGTCCCTAGGAACCTGCAAGGCAAGGCTCACTATGAAGGTCACTATTGCCACTCACCTACAGCAGGCAGCCTGGGCTCCCAGGAACCCCATGGCACCCCCACCCTCACCCCCACCCCACATCAGCTACCTGACCCCATCGATGGTGGCTTGGTAGGGGTTGGTGACCAGCTGCAGAGTGGAGTAGGCGGTAGCCAGGGGGAGCATGCACGGGTGCAGGGGCTGCTGGGGGAGTGTGTAGTTGGTCGGGTCGAATTCACCTGGCATTACGTCCACGGGCACTGAGGCCTGGAGGGCACAGAGCCGGGAGGGCTTGCAGGGCAGCTCTGCAGCCTGGGGGTCTCCCTGCCCCCGCCAGCCCCCACTGCTCACACTCAGCTGCAGGAGGATCTCGTCCAGCATCTTGACCGCCTCCACGCTGGCTGCCTGAGTCTTCTTGGTGAGGTACTTGGCCTGTGAGTTGAAGCGCAGAGGCATCAGGATCCCCAGCTCCGAGGAGATCGGAGCGCAGTAGTTGCACAGCCCCAGGCACAGGCACGAAGGTGTGGCAGGTGCTACCTTGTTGATGGAGTCCCTGCTCTGGGTGCTGGGACTCAGGAGGTTGCCAGCCAGGATGACTCGGGACACACAGGCGGCGCTGCACTGCTCACCCTCGTCCCCCAGCTGCCCCGTCACCACGTCCACCAGCAGCTGGGTGCCCAGCAGGCTCTCGCCACCACCTCCGCCCAGGCCCAGCCCAGATACCAGCAGCACAAACCTGCAAGTAGCAGTGGCCCCCGTGAGGCACCGAGGGAGCCTCCCACCCCCAGGCAACCCTGTCCCCCAAGGGCCTCTCACCTGTCTGTGTCAAGGCAGGGCGCAGGCTCCTGTGGGCCAAGGTCAGCGAAGCAGTGGTCCTCCACCAGGAACTTCCCATCATCTTGCACGAAGCCACACACGGCCAGCACTGTTCCTGCAGGGTGGTGAGGTCAGGCCTGAGGGACCGCCAGGAGTTCCTACCCCCTTCCAGTCCCCTTGGCTACCCCAGTGAAGTCTCACTCAGGACTGTCTCTGAGGGAGCCAGGGCAACACATCTCATCAGTGACATCTACTGCCTTCTGAACCACACATGCACTCCCACAAACTTGAACATGCCAGCCTCACTGACAGCCCAGCTCCTACCATCCCTCTGGGGTTCCCAACTCCCCATTCCACTGCACCCAACACACCCCCATGGGGCTGCTCCCACCTGTGACCAGTCTCGAGACATCGATGGCACCTTTCAGCTTGATGCGCTGCAGCTCATCCTCCAGGACCAGCTCGTCGTCTGGGTGGATGTACTTGCTCCTCGGGGGCTGGGGGAGCAGGTTGTGCTGGAAGGCAGAGAAGGGAGGTGGCCTCGGGCAAGGCCGCCAGGCACAAATGTCAGCAGATGGCCCCACAACTCTGTCCCTCTTGCCCATCTCCACAGGCTGGGGGTGGCGTATGGTCTCCCTAAGCCACAGGTCTCACCTCCTCGCTGATCTCACGCAGGATGGAGGGCTGCAGGGGCATAGCCTTGAACAGTGTGCCCACCACACAGCACTTCTCCCCGGGCTGCAGCTCACACAGCTTCTTCAGCGGGACACCACTGCCTGGGCATGGGGGTGGGGGCACAGACTCAGCATGTTGAGACCCTGCCCAGCACTGGGGCCACTTCCAGGGCCTCATGGGAGGGTGAACATTAAGCGAGCAGGGCCGCCACAGGCAGGGGACAGGCCTGGATGGGTGAGGCCGTGTAAAGACAGTGCAGTGTGTGCTGTGGCCACAACTGGGAATGTGCAGAGCCACCCAGATGAGGCGGGAAGAATCCTCCCCCAGAGCCTGAGGGAACCTGTCTTGCTCATACCAACTTCAGGACTCTAGTTCCAGAACTGTGAGGGGACGTGCTGTCTGTTGTCCTGAGTCACCCAGTTTGCAGGTCTTTGTTACAGCAGCCAGAGGAAACAGACAAAGAGTACCTACCTCACTTCTGGCCAGAGCATCAGCTTCCTGTGCAAAGGGGTGGCCCCCAGCCTTTCCCTCCCAGAATCACATCTTTCTTAGAGTCTGAATTCCTCTCCCTTTGCTCCCACCAAATGCTTCATTCACTGAAGTCTCCCACCTGTGGCTCTCAGCTGTGGTTTGGATGCAGTTTGTCCCCCCTAACACCTCTCCGGGTTCATGTGTGGTGACATGGGGGACCTCGGAGCAGGTCCTGTGCTTACTGGGGGAGCTGCCTTAGAGGGAGTTACTGCAGCTCTGGTAGGACACTGAGTGGCGCCCTTGGACAGCTCCCTGGCTTCCTGTTTGGTGATATGAACTCTCCTTCTTGCACACATTCCTGCCATCTGTCATGAAGTCCCCACCTGTGACGCTGAAGCCAGAAGTGAGCTACATAAGCCTCTATTTTACAAGCAGGAAGTCTCCAGCCTCAGGCGCTTTGCTACTGTAACAGAAAATGGACTCACACATGCTCAGACTGGAGAACTCCATAAACACACGTTAGCCCAATATGACAGTAGATATTATCACATTGCTGAGAAGGGATCCAAATGCATGGCCCTTGAGCACTGGGCACAGCATGGGCACAGACAGTGAAACCAGACACAAAGGACCACCCTTGCCCACTGGGGAGCTTTGTCAACAGTTGTGGTCACTGAAAGAGAATCTAATTTCCACGAAGTCTTTAAAAGGTGGTGTTGGGAGCCGCGTCTGTGATAGCTCGCCTTGCGCGGCGGACGTGCGGCCTGTGGTAAAGAGCAAAGCCTGAGGTAGATTACCCCTCCCATCGAATATGTTAGTTTCCTGCTTACCGCGTAAACAACCCGCTCAACAATATAGTCTGCCTGGCAACTGATGATGTTAGCCAATCAGCTTGCCTTGCTTACTTTAACATGATTGGACACTGTACCCGTATATATACCGGTGCCACCCCTGGGCGGAAGAAGAAGCCAGGTAGAAGCCCAGAAGTAAAAGCCCAAAAGGAGCCGCGGAGAGCGGACCGGTAGAGGCTTTGGGGCAGACTGAAGCACAAAAGGAGCCGCGGGGAGCGGACCAGAGGAGGCTTCAGCTGGGAGCGATCCCAGGGCAGGCTGTACGGAGAAGGAAAATAAAAAGAAAAGGTTGTCCACTACCAGACTTTGTCGTGTGTCCTTCCTGCCGGCCGGGAGCGGACATCGACATTTGGAGGCCCGCCCGGGGACTGATCACCCCCGAGACGTGGAAGTGGACAACGCTCCAGTACAGAGCTGCGAGACAGGTGAGTTGGGGATAAGCCTGGGCTCTGGGTGGCGCGCACCTACAGGGCTTTTAGACTCCCCTCAGGCTCACGCGTAAGTGGCGGATTCCTTGGGCCTCACGCGGTGAGTAACATATTAAAAGATGGGAAACATGTTAGGTAGCAACACTAAGAGCGAGGGTGGTTGTGGAGAAAGCTCTCAAGAGCTTACAAAAGTACGCAGGGTATCTGAGCAGGCCCAGTCAGGGAGCTCCCGAGAGGGGTCCGTCAAGGGGAACAAAGATGCTAAGGAGGAGGACGGGGCTCTAGCCTCGGAGTCGTCTGACTCCGAGGACGAGGGAAAGTTGAATGGCAAGGAGGCCAAAGAGACCAGCTGTCAGGAGCCTAAGTCGCTCGATAAGGAGTCGCAGGGTTCTTTCCCAGTAATTCAGGGTACCACAGAGCCATTTGTTGACTTTGTGGCCCGAATGCAAGATGCTGCCGATAAGATATTCTCTGATCCGGGAGTGGCTCGACCGCTGGTAAGGCAGCTGATTTTTGAGCAATGTACAAAGGAGTGCAAGGCAGCGATAGCTCCTCATAAGAACAAGGACCTCAACGCCTGGATTAGGATATGCAGAGAGATAGGGGGGCCGCTCTCCAACTCGGGAGTGGCTGCTCTCCTGGCTGCGGCTGTACAGCAGAGGGGACCTCGCGGGTTAGAAGGGGAATGTAAGGCTAAAAGGTG